TAGAATTTATACTCAGCTAAGCACCAGCTCTGCCAGACAATGAAAAGTGGAGAAGTGGGGGAGGTACTTTTCAAGAAAGGCAAACACAGCAGTTGTTCCCACCCACCCCCTGCAACTGCAGCAGGGGTGGGCAGAATCCAGCCCCTCGACCTTGCCTCCTCTCCAGGAAGCGAGGCTGAACAGCCAGTGTGCTACCTCTTCAGGTCTCACACAGTGTATTCTTCTCATGCACCAAACAGTGCTGGGGGAAGAGCAGAATTTCTGAACTGCCATTACAAGCCACAGCTAGCTGGGCTGGTTTAGAAGTGACCCACTGAAAAGAAGAGGAATTCAGACGACATGATAGATCACCCCCATGGTGCCTTAGCACATCATGTGAACCCAGTCAGTATCTTGTTCCAACCTCCTGCAAGAAGTCTGTATCTTCTTCCCAGCTGCTCCCCATGGTTAAGTCTAAGGCATGAGCACGGGCTGCATATTTAGGTGAGACTCCACCCTCCACCATTCTCACAAAAGTTGTTGTGCATTTAAGTTTGGAAACTGTGTGTTCCAGTTGTGAACGAGTGCTCATTATTTTCTTCTAATGCCTGTTATTCCCTTCTCTTGCTCTTCACTGCCTGCTCTCCCAGGATCTACCCCAATCTGTATGCGTGGGTGTATAGATCCGTCTTTGCAAGTATTCCCTGCTCCCTTAAAACCACTACATTCTCCATCTTTCCCTTGGTTCCTGTTGCCTACCCAGTTGTCTTTAGGCTTCATGAATACAAACTTCACCATAGTAATTTATAACAAGTGCATTTATTTTTGAGCTGCATTTGTTAAAAGTCTGAGTTCAGTGCACACCAGGAGATCTGGCAATGTCTGAAACAAAAGATTTCAGCATGATTAGAGCATCTCCATGGGGGATGAAGGCAGCAAGAACCAACGTATTCAAATAATGCAAATGATCTTGAAGATCCTGTAAAGTAAATAAAAAGTTATGAGTTCACAGTTGGTTTCCTACTAACTACTAAGTCACACAGCAGTGCTGAAAGGAGAAAAAATTACTTCTGCTTCTTTCTTACAACTTTTAAATATTGGCTTTTAGAGGAGGAATGTCAATTTTAAGAAAGTTTAAAGGAAAACTAACAGGAAACAATTTGTTTTTAGGTCCTTCCATTGAACTACAATTTCCCTATAAAATCTTATGAAATAAATATTAGGATATGAGATACCTGTTCAAGAGATAGCATGGTGGCTGGCAGATGTCTTCTAAAGGCTGCCAAAAAAGATGATTAAAGTAAAAGGTGCTCCTTAGAGCCAAGTGAGTTGACTTTCCCATATGATGTATTAGTTCATGAACATCAAGGATTGATCAGCTCAGTCCCAGGATCTGCAATACCACCTTTAGGAAGTAGTGAAACAGTTTCTTTCAGAGAGTAGTACCAACTACAAGTTGAGTGTTAGCAGCCTTCAATCTGCAGTGCCACTGTCTACTACTAACTCTGACACCAGAGACTTGCTGGCTTTATCAGTCCTGTCAATGGCTTGCTCTTTGTCTCTGGACTACTGGCCCGGGCAGCCTCCCATAAAACAGCAGTAAGATTCCATTCGACACTTTAAAGAAAAGCAGGTATCTCATAAGGAGAGATAGGTCATTAAAGGACAACATATTCCAGCAGGTTCCCTTCCTTCTTTCCTCCACAACTTTTATTCCAAAGGCTAGTTGGTGGACTGTTCACTACAACAAGGAAGCAAGGCTAGCAACTTAAAAGTCAGTTTGAAGGATAACAGACCTAAACAACATGTGGACACCCAAACTTGGATTACCCAGAAATAAAATCAATATGGGCCTATCTGGCCATAATTACATGACAAAAGCCATACAAGTTCTGGTCCACAGCTGGATTGCTTCAACAGATTATTTACAATGAAACAGGTCTTCATTTCATTTGTTTATGAACAGGATTGCCAGATTTGACTCCGGGCTATCCTGTCTAGAAAACTTGTTCTGTACCTTATTCAAATGTACGGCGTGATCCAATTTTCTTCCCTGCTTGACACACGCACACACAGATGGATGGGGGGGGGAGACAAATTGGCCCATTTTTCTTTCACACATAGCATTTTAATTAATTAATATATAAATTCAAATTATTTCTGTCCCATTTATGAAGAAAATTGTAATTTTTTTAAAGTCAATACACCACATGAATTTCTTGCCCATCTACACAAGTCAATTTCATTAGATAGAGCTCTTTTCAGCATGGAGATAACCATGTTGTACAGAGTAGCAATTGAATATGAGAAGCTATTTATAAAAAAAAAAAAAAAAAAAAAAAATGGAAATTCAACTTCATAACCGCAAATATTGCTGAATAGACAGAGATTCAAACCCAGGCTTTAAAGACCTAGGCATGCAAAGACCTCTGCCTGGATGAACAAAACATAGGCTTTTTCCCATATGCGTTCAAAATAAAATAATGGACCACAAGTTCCTTCCATCCCATTTTTTAAAAAAACTGCAAATTGCAGTACATTCTTCTTTTAAAAAAATGAATGAAATGAAGTTCTCAATCGCAGAGATAAACTATATGAGCATAAGCTCCAGGGTAAGTGTTAAATGGGAAGGAGGAGTGTGGAGTAAACAATTTCCATTACTGAAATCTTTTAACTTTCTAGCTATCTCTAACCACATTTCCATTGCTTCCTTTCTTCCATATATCTACTGTTATGGTGAGGGGGACAGATATTTGCAATCTGACTTACCTTTTAATATCTGCTAGATTGTTAAATAATAAAAACAGGTGCCAAATAATGTATTCATTTAATTTTATTTTTTAAATAAGTAGCCATAGATAAATCTGCTTTCCAGCTTCTATAGTTATGAACATTATAACAACACAAATATTTGTTTTATTTGCAGTAATAGTCTGCCCGTATTATTTATTATGCTTTCTCTGTACTTAACATAAAAACATCCAAGTACAAAAAAACCACAGAATACTAAAAGGAGGAACATGAAGACTTAATTCATTTGTTGAAACAGTGCCCATTTTCAAGAGGAATTTGTAAATTATTGAGGCTTCATATTTTCAAAACAGTTGCTCTCTCCATCTATATTTACATGATTTTTCTAATGACATTACAATGGGCCTTGTTTTGTTTTACAGAAGAAAACTCTAAATTCAACAGCTCCTGTGAGAGATTTGTACTTTTATCAATGCCAAGAAGTTACTGTACCTGTAAGTTCAAAGCTTTAGAATAAAATTCTGGAGTGGTGGAATTTGTATGGTGCAGCTTAATTATTAGAAAAGGGACTGCTATACTTTTCTGCTATAGGTTTAAACTATTTACAAACTGCTTAATATCCAAGATCACAAATTTTTTTATCAACAACTAAAACAAATAATACAATAAGCACAATCCAAACACCAAAGCATTTATAATCCAATGGAGAAAGATCCACCTTTTGAGGACCAATAACTATTAGAAGTTAAAATCACTAACAGGCACCAAAAGCACTATTGGCACATTTTGTAGAACAATGACATAGACAAAGTCTGCTTTTTCCCCTTAGGATAAGTGTTGAAGTAGAACTAGGGTCCTTTTGATCAGGGCCCATGAAAACCTTTAAAAATTCTGGGCCAATATTTGGTCCAGCTGAACATATACAAGAGAAAATCCACATAAGTCATTCAGGAAGAGATGACTGATGAAGAGAAAGTTTGGATGGGATAAAATTATTTATCCTACAGTTATGAGGTGATGTTATTAGCATCCTTCCCAGGTCCATTTATCAACTCCTTTTTGAAATCACATGGCAATAGCCATACTGATGTTATCAGCTTATTGGTGCTATCTTTCCTCAAAGCCCCAGACAACTTTTCCCAGCACAAGGTACAAGATAGGAAACAAAATCAGTGACCTCAACCATACTGCCTGCAAAAGCACAGAAGCTACATCAAGCAGATCCTTCTAGCTATTAGCCAGTTCACCTAGAAGACACTATGTCACTGGTAATCATTAAGATAGCCAACATTAAGATATCCAACAGAACCAAATAGGGACACACTCCTTTCCAGTTTCTACAATTGATTTCATTCTGCGATGAGCAAGGCAGGTACAAAGCTGAACCAGAATAACTCCCAGTTTTATTTTTTAATAGGTGGCTTTCACTTATTAACTTTTTATTCAATATGCAAGGTTTCATTCAAACAATGCATGCCCCTTCTACCTGTAAGAGTTTACAGTTCTATTAATTTGTTATTTCTCTAGTATTTCATTTTATTAGCATTAAGTGGAAATTATACTGAAGTGGATATTATATCCAGTTTGTGTATGTGGTGGGAAATGTCAACTAAAAATATGTGTAAGCAATTACATGTTGTTGTTAGTCGCGAAGTCATGTCCAACCCATTGCGACCCAATGGACAACATTCCTCCAGGCCTTCCTGTCCTCCACTATTCCCCAGCAGGGCTTTTTTTTTTTTGTTATAGAACGCACCAGAACAGTGTTCCAGCACCTTTTTTTGACGAATTTTTCCAAGTGATTGTGAATGGCCCTGTTGGGCGTAGCAGATCGGCAGCAAAAATCATTACATTGTGCCTGCGGGCTGCTTGTGTGTCGTCGCTGATTGTGAGGGTGCTGCTCGGCTTGGGATAGGTTGTGTGGTCACGTGCTGAGTGCTTACTGCCAGCAGCGACCATTGTGTAAAACTGTGACCCCAAAACTTGAGTTCCGGCACCTTTTTTTTTTTTTTTTACAAAAAAAGCACTGTCCACCGGAATCCACTTAAGGTCACGCCAACTGCTTCAGTGACTCCATCTAGCCACCTCATTCTCTGCCATCCATTTCTTCTTTTGCCAACTATTGTTCCCAGCATTAGGCTCTTCTCCAGAGAGGCCTTCCTTCTCATTAAGTGACCAAAGTATTTGAGTTTCATCTTCAGTATCTGGCCTTCTAAAGAGCAGTCAGGGTTGATCACCTCTAAGACTGACTGGTTTGATCTTCTTGCACTCCAACTTTTCCACTCTCCTATTTCACCTGCAGCAAGAGGCTCTTTAGTTCCTCTTCACTTTCTGTCATTAGAGTGGTATCATCTGCATATCTGAGGTTGTTGATATTTCTCCCAGCAATCTTGTGATTCATCTCATCCCGCCTTTCTCATAATGTGCTCTGCATATAAGTTAAATAGGCAGGGCGACAGTATACAGCCTTGCCATACTCCTTTCCCAATTTTGAACCAATCAGTGTTCTGTGTCCAGTTCTCACTGCTGCTTCTTGACCCGCATACAGGTTTCTCAAGAGACAAATAAGATGGTCTGGTACTCCCATTTCTTTAAGAACTTGCCACAATTAGTTGTGATCCACACAATCAAAGGCTTTAGTATAGTCAATGAAGAAGTAGTAGATGTCTTTCTGGAACTCCCTAGTTTTCTCCATGATCCAGAGTATGTTGGCAATTTGATCTCTAGTTCCTCTGCCTCTTCGAAATCCTGCCTGTACTTCTGGAGTTTCTTGGTCCACATACTGCTGGAGCATAGCTTGCAGGATTTTGAGCATCACTTTGCTAGCATATGAAATAAGTGCAATGGTGCGGTAGTTTGAACATTCTTTGGCATTGCCCTTCTTTGGAGTCGGAATGTAAACTGACCCTTTCCAATCCTGTGGCCACTGTTGAGTTTTCCAAATTTACTGGCATATTGAGTGTAGCACTTTTACTGTATCATCTTTTAGGATTTTGAATAGCTCAGCTGGAATACTGTCGCCTCCACTAGCATTGTTGCTAAGACTTACTAAGGCCCACTTGACTTCACATTCCAGAATGTCTGGCTCAAGGTCAGCGACCACCCCATCGTGGTTATCAGGGACGTTATGATCTTTCTTGTATAGTTCTTCCGAGTAATCTTGCCACCGCTTCTTAATCTCATCTGCCTCTGTTAGATCCCTGCCATTTTGGTCCTTTATCATACCCATCTTTGCATGAAACGTTCCCTTCATATCTCCAATTTTCTTGAAGAGGTCTCTAGTCTTACCTATTCTGTTGTTTTCTTCTATTTCTTTGCACTATTCATTTAAGAAGGCATTCGTATCTCTTCTAGCTATTCTCTGGAATTCTAAATTCAATTACTTATATCAGTGAACATAGGCCAAATTCAAATGTTTCTAACTAATAGGCCACTTCTTACCTGTTTTTAGTTTTGAAAATAATACATTCTGGAGATCAAGTCTATTCTTTTGCTTCATTGGCCTGTAAACATTAATGATGAATACTTGCTCAGCTGTACAACAGTACTCTTGGAAAGCAATAAGTGTCCCATGTCCTCCCTCCACCAGCACTAAACGTTATGAAGTGCCTTTTCTGAGTTCAGTGCAAGAAGAAATTAATAGTCGTCTGCATATCCACAATAAAGTGCTTTCTTCTTTATTCTTTGATAGCAAGAACAAAAATAATGCTCTCAGTTTTTGAGCACATCTTTTGATGCAGTGTTTAAGGTCATCTGGTACTAATGACACCAGATGACCTTAAATAAATGGGAGTATAAAAGTCCTATGATGGAGCTTTAAGAATTAAAAGGATAGTGAAGACAACTTTAGAGTTTACCAAGGAATTCATCAGCTTATAGAATGATTTAACTATGTTTAATGCATACTAGTCTTACTTATCTTCTTTTTCATAAAATGTGCTGTATGTATAAACTTTGGAACACTGGGGTTGATGAAGAATTAGTATTTACTGCTGAAACAACAAAAGAAACTGCAATTCCTTGATGAAAATAGCAGGTAAGAATATAAACACAATATTAACAGTAAAAAAGACCACCACAAATCATATAACGCAATCTTGTGGAGTTTGTGGTCATTTATGTTATGACAGCTATGGCATTACTGCATAAATAAAAGATAGACAATATATTTGTTAAACTCTTGCAGAAAAATAACAAAGCATCTTATGGCACTAATACATTTTTGGAACATAATTTTTATAGACCGTATCCAATTTCAATAATATGCATGAAGTGCTAAGCTCGGTCAGTAGTATTTACATTAAGTATGGGCAGGGAGGTGTTTTTATAAAATGAGGCCAAAGGACCAAGTAACACAGGCAATTAGAGAGCACAAATTAGAATGAGTTCCAACTAAATGCATAAAAGATCCCAAGTGTGCTCCACTACAAACTGCTGATGAATGGGCAAAGCAAGATGAATAGTGTACATAAACACCTAAAGAGGAACAATTACTTTTTCTAATGAGCTAGGCATTCTCAACCCATGCTCAAGTTTGTAAGAGTCAAATTTAGAAAAGAATTCCAAGTCTGAACCTTCATGGAGAAATCTACACTTTGTTCAAGTATAGAAAATGTCTTGCCTTTACAGAATGTTTAGAGAGAGATAAATTCTTCTTCCGTTACTATTTTAAATATCTGATTACTGGCCATTTTATTGCATTGATTAAACTTGGAGCATGGTAAAAGTTGAAAGTTAGGTTACATAAAGTAGTAAAACACATTTTTGCTTAATCCTATTGTAGCAATTCAGTCAATGCTAGACCACACATCCATTGACTGAAGAATAATTCAAAAATTACCTATTGCACAGGTGTTGCATAGAAACCCCCGTTTGGGAAGGATCTGGATGAGTGACTAAACTACGGATGAGCGAAAGAGAAGCAATTTTTGTGAACATATATGTCAACCACTGAAAGGTATCCCCTTTAGTCATTCTTCAATAATAGGAGCAAAGGGGGCACAACTATTTGAATTCATTCTAACTAAACAGTCTTTAGTTGCCCTCAGAAATGTCACCATTAAGCAAGCACATGGGAAATAGCCATTAGAGGCTGCCTGCATTGGCCCACTGTGGATGCCCACACTGAGATGCCCTCCGCAGCACTGCTGTGCTACCACATAACGCATGAGGATTACTATCCCTGTGCAATCCTCTTTCCCAACATTATGAGGCTCCCAAAAGCCAAGGATACACCTGCTCATACCGGAAGAATGATGAAGAAGTCATTAAGTTTCAAAAGGCAGCATAGCATACTTTCCCAGAGTCCCCAGTACAGGGTATCCATGTAACCATGCCAAGTCCTTATGACCTTCAGCTTGTTAAGAAGCACAACAGAGATAATTGCCTTTAACTTGTTTTCCCAAAGTATATTCCTTAGAAAATAGATTTTCCTTAGAAAAAGCTGTGAAAACAGAAACTGCTTGGTTTATTGAAGCAACTTTGTCCTTCCTCTCCCTCAGAAAGGGAATTAGAACTCATGTGCACTCACAGCTTCCGAAACACTGGGAAACAAGAACTTTATAAAATCCAGGGCAAGACGTGTTGTCTTTTGCTCTTGGTTTGAGCAAAGGAATTGATGTGATGCTTGCTCAGGCAACTTTGAAGGCACATGCAGTTTTGCCTGGCCTATTCAGGAAACCGATGTGGCCACAGATAAAAGGATATCAGGCTTTCTTTTGCACACCATTGCATTCAGTAAACTTTTTATAATCTTTGACATAGATAGTTTTATTTTTTTCCCCTAAGTATTCTTAAATCTAAAGTGAGGTGCTTTGGGTGGACTAGGCACTGTGGGATTCATACTCTGAAACTTATTAGCAGATGTGGTTCCAAGGAAAATTAAAGTTGCCCACTCCTGCTATAGCTAAATCTGATTGGCTGCATAACAATATTATCACAGTCCCCAAATGATATCCGAAAGATTGGAAACACTCTTTTAAAAAACAGAAAAAAGCTGTAAAAAGGAGTGAAATGCACAGAAGCAAACAGAAAAACCAAATGGCAGGAAAGAGCTTTGCAAGCAAATGCCAACACTTTTTCATGTTTCCCTCTGTATGTGGGGTGCGAGAGGGGGTATTTACTATTTTGAAAGCACTACTTTGAAGCCAAACATTCAAAACATTTTATTTATTTATTTAAAATATTATTTTAAATTAATTGTATTTGTTTGTTTTTTAAAAATTAATTAATTAATTAAAATAAATGAAAATCTAGTACTGTAATGTTCCAATATGGAACATTGGTGTGGTTAAAAGGAAGATGGGAATGAAGCAACTGCAGCTATAAGGCAGAAAATAATGTCGTGATTTGCCTTTGAATAGAAGTATCAACAGTCACAGCAATAAGTGTTATTTCAGCTGATGTGTCAAGGCTGTCATGTCAATGACAAACATAAAATACTTTCCAACATTAGTAGCTTCCAGCTTCAACATGCTCACCTACATGTTAATATGTCTGAGATTGAAACTATCCCTAACACTTTTACTCCCCTTCTCAATTAGCAGTGTTCTCTCTTATCCAGGGACTGCAAAAGACACTTAATGAATTTATAACTCACTAATGTCTTAACAATGATTTCCCAAATACAAGCAGAGGTAAAAGCAAACAACCATGTAGTCCACTTCTCTCAATTCAGTGATTTTTCCAGAAAAGATCATGGGTTCTTGGTAGACATTCAACACCTTTAAACAGGCTAAGGAGGCTAATTAGTCTTAAGACAGGTAGTCTTAAACCAGTTTGGGGTCCGGCTATCAAAAGTACCGTCTGCACCCATATATACCAACCCACCCCCTTAGATCAGCTCAGGAGGCCATTCTATGAGAACCACCCCTCAGGGATATGAGAGGGATGGCAACTCGGTGAAGGGCCTTTTCTGCTGCTGGAACACCCTCTTTCTGCTGGAACATCTTTGGGACTCCCTCCCTGGGGAGATTTGCCTGGCACCATCTTTATCTTCCTTTCAGCACCAGGCAAAGACATATCTTTTTAGGAATTTTTCTAACATTTAGCTTGCATGCTGTGGGCCTTTTTAAATGCTTTTATAGATGTTTAATTTGTTATGTTTCAATTGGTTTTAATATGTTTTACTCCATTAATATGTTTTACGCATTGTAAGCCACCTAGGAAGACCTCAGCAATTATAGGCAGCCTATAAATACAAGTAAATAAATAAATAACTGTGGGATAGAAGGTGGCAGTCAGCTCTGTGCTTCAACTGATACAAGGTAGTTTTAGTTTTAATGTGGTCTTTACAGTTTCGAAAGTATACATCTTTAATATATGTGAACTTTTTCAGCACGCTCCTTAAACAAAAAAGGAAATTCCCCTTTATTTAACCATCAATATTCTGCATGCATAGCTGTCAGAATAATAAAAAATACTATGCAGAAAATTTTAATATATTATCTTTATAGAGTAATCAGTTGTAGTGTGACCACATATTGCTTGCAAATTCAATAATGCACATTTGTGCAGTATATGCCTACCAGTGTTCATGTGCATTGATTTTAAGATATCCTGTGGCTGGCATTCAACAAATGCAAGTTCATGTGCAAGTACTATATAAAAACTATTGTACAACTGGTTGGTAGCTATCTCACACACACATTCGGGGCTAATGTAAATAGAACATAACTGTGCCCTGCACGCATTTGTCATGAAGAATGCATGTGTAATCTGTTCATGAAGAAAAAAAGTGTGCACATTCTCCAGCCATCATGCATTTTCTTCATTTTGCATATTCTTTGGTCACTGCACACAGTTTAAAAAAATACTCTGGGGAAATGTGCATATCTTGACTGCATTTTGCCCAGGTTGTGGGAAATACTCACAGCTTTGCACAATTTGCATAGTTTCAGACAGTCTCTGAAGCCTCAGAAAATCCTTAGCGTTTCATACATTTGCTGAGCAATCTGTACAGTCTCCAAGTAACTGCAGAACGTGCATAATTTTTACATAATCTGATCATAATTTGGTAATTTGCCCATGCAAAATTATAAGGCCTCCAAGGAACCTTGAGAATACACAGATCAGCAACATAAGAAAGGATTTTCTTATGTTCACTGTTTTTTCAGTATACTTTGCCTATAAGTGATATTAGGGAATGTTCCAACAGTGATTTTCTGAGATTAACCTGAAGGATTAATGCTACATACCAGTGCTATCTAGAAACCAGTCTGTCTCTAAAAAGGTCCCGACTGAAAATACAGATTTCTGGGCTTACAGAAAACAAGGCTCAAACAGAGCACTCTGCAAGGTTCTGATAGTCAGCTAGTCTCTCTCTCTCTCCCCCCACCCCCACTTCTCTCCCTCTCCTGCCCTCAAATTATGGTCTGTCTGCAAAATGAGATGGTAAAGTACAGAAGTGGTACAGTAAGTTCTCTCTTTACAAACTTCATATGGTAACCATATTTGGGATTATTTGCCTGTGTAAAAGGCATGTGCAAGTAGGTTTAACTAGACCTCCTCCCACCTCCAACACACTAGTATTTTATACAGGGATGCATTCAAAAAGGGAATTATATAGTCCAATCTCTTATTCTGTCTCTTCATCCTTTTGCAGGTTTAAAACTAAGGGCTAAAAATGTGTGTAATGTGACTGCTGTCCATTAACATGAATTGACAAATTAGTACATACTAATTAGTACATTAGTATGACTTACTGGTTTATTATTTATTAACAGTGTAGCTGCAATTTCTCAGAAATACAGAGTCTGCAGAGTGACCTATTTTAATTGGCAAAGATACCAAAAACCCTGGGAAAAAGCATACAGAGAAGTCTTCTGCAAACCCTGATTGCCAAGTTACTTGGCAATTCTTCTTAACTGGAACAAACATATCACACTGTCAGGTGTTCTGAGTTCTGAAATCCAAGGGTGGCATTGGACATTCACCATCAGAAAGAGAGGACTGAAAAGAGTGCAGGAAGCAGCAGCATGGAAGAGTTAATTTGGCTCTACTTAAAAGTTGATATCACCACAGTAGTTGTTGGCTGAGCAAACTGATTTACTAACAACTCAGTCTGGGCTATATAATCTGACATTAAGTAGGAAATTCTCCTGTCACCTAGATATCCATCTGGAACACTTTTCTCAGGACTCTTGGCACAGTTGTATTCTTGGTTTCCTGCTTAGCTTTGGCTCATACATCAGCCTGGCATGGCTAGTTACTAGCCTTGACCGGAATCTATTTTATCATGGAAATGACCTTTTTATCTAGCCATGACTTGACAAATGTATGTGATCAAAAGAACGGTAAGAATCTGTAAAATATACTATATCTCAAAATCTACCTCATTAACTCCTATAGTAGATTGCTTTGAATGAGAGGCTTGGAATGAAGTACCTTGCTTTCAGGTCTAGTCCAGATGCTTTGTTGCTTGGGGAGGAACAAATGCCATCCCCTTCCTCCCGCCCTCACCATCCCCAAGTTAAGGTATATCACGAATTATTGCTGGTCAATTTCTTTTGGCACCGAAGCCAAAAAAAAAAAAGGATAACTCTGCCTGTGGACATTATAAAGTAGTAATGGGGTGGTGGTAAAAACAACAACAATATATCAAAAGTAAAAATGTCGTGCTTTTTCATGACACACAAAAACAGCTGCCTGAGGCAGCCATCTCACTCTATCGAATGGAAGGAGAGCTGGCCTTGCTTCTCTGTTTTCCAGAGCTTTATGTATCTTACCCATTGGCTGCAAGGCCTCTAACATGTGCATGTCATAGCAAGAATGGGACCAAAAATGCAAGCAAGTAGCCACCTTCCGAAAGCAGGAGTCAGAGATCAGACGGATCAATACAGGTGATTTTGTGTTTGGTGCCTATAAAGTCTGCAGTGTTTAAAGAGGGGTGCCCTACCTTTTGTGTGGTTTTGTGGGCAATATTAATGAACAAGACATAACATACAAGGCACAGGTGCCCCTCAATATATCTCAAGACATTCCCTGAGAAATTTCAAAAAGGAGTATGTGTGCAAAGGAAACTTTACAGCCTTAAAAAACAAAAAAGATCTATCCCCTTCAGTGGTTCTGTGGGCAATTTGACATTTGTTGTCTGGTTATGATACACACCCACACAGAGATTCAAGCCCATACACATACAGAGAGAACATTAGAGAAGTGATGCGTGCAAACTGTAAAACCCTGTTCATAAAGATCTCAATCCACAACACACAATCCACTCTATGATTCTTTCCTCCTCATTTCAGAGCCTAGAAACTCATCATATTCCTATAGACAAGTGGAAGAGGAGTCATCAGAGATCACTGCCTTTAAGCAGAGAGAATTTGTGCAGGCCCATACATTCTGCCCTGTTAAGGATCTGTATCACTGGCAGCTGCTGATGTTAAGAGTTGTGACCAGATGTTTCCTTTGCTTAGGCATAGCATGCATGGCTTTAACACTTGGAAGTACTAAATATGTACAACTCATATGTACTCTTTTTTGTGTGCATGTACATTTTGGATACACCAGAGGTTCTCTAGCTTTGTATACCAGAATACATGTGAGAAAGTTAAAAATGAATGAGGACCCTCAGTCACAAAATGAAGTTGCTTGACTGGAACCAGTCACAAAATGGTGACTGACATAATCATTCAAAAGTTTAAAAAAGAAGGTGAACATAAGCATAATCAGCACACAATTATTCAAATCATTTTATAAAGTTATCCAATCTCTACTTGCAAATTGCTAAGCTTTTCCTACAGTTATTTCTATAACTTAACCCTAGTAACTTTCCTCAAGTTAAATGCAGACATTGACTCTGAAGGTATTATTACTCAGCTTCCTCATTTCAAGAAGAAATTGCTGATCCTGATGCTCTAAGTCTGGATGTGTTCATGGCCACTTGTGTTAGTGTCCACCAGGTTATTCCCCACACCTTACTTTAGCTGTATTTCTTAAGACTATTTTAAATAGTTTTAACTGCTAGATACTGCAAAGTGTTGCCCCTTATTTGGTTCAAAATCTTGATTTTGCTTCAAAAGAGTGATTCTTTACTTTGGAGTTCAGATCCACCATCTCTGCCTTGCACTTACATTGTTGGACAAGGTACTAGTCCAGCGGTGGCGAACCTATGGCAAGCGTGCCACAGTGGGCACGCAGAGCCCTCTCTTTCAGCACACGAGCCATGTCGCGCCAGCATCACCCCAGCAGCCGAGCATCAGATAACAGTGCACATAGGGGCCATGCGCATGCTCGGAAATGAGTAGCGGCGCACGCATATATATATATATATATATATATATATATACACACACACATATATATATATTGCTTGGACTGGCTGTGAGTTGTTTTTTCTGAACTAAAACTTCAGTTTTCAGGTTTTATTGCAGTGTTGGCACTTTGCGATGATTAAGGTTTTGCGTTGCAGTCTGGGCACTCGGTCTCTAAAAAGTTCACCACCACTGTACTAGTCTATCAGTCTCACAATTAGCCCTGTGGGAAATGAGCATTTTATGACTGCTCACGTCCCTAATGGCAGCCATAGTATGAGAGTACTGTGACACTGTAAAAATTCTAAATACACCCACCAACTCAAAATGGTCAAGGACCACTCCTTTAAGTAGAGAAAACTGTTTATTTTATATTGTTTTTTTCCCCTCCTTCCATGCTTCTCAAAGTCTTCTTATCTCCTGCCATTTTTTCTATCATCCCCCTTTCTTAATTAACTTGTACTGTATCTCCAACAGCCAGTTTCTTTTTTTCTCCCTCCATCCTGCCACTGTTGCATTTATTTCCTCCTATAACAGCTTTCCTCTCTTATCCCATCTCTCTTTATGGGCATTTTAAAACATTATTATTATTATTAAACTGTTGCTTTGTTCCCTTTCCAGCTCCATGCAGTTTGAAAGATGAGGCCATGGCACAGGGCGGTCAAGCAAAAGGCACCTGGTAGTCTGTAGCACTGAGACCCACCTAAATGTCAGCTGAGACCCACTGGTGGGTCCCAACCAACATGCTGAGAAATGCTTGTATGCCAAACATGAGTTCATCACTAGAACGTCCTCCCTGCAATGTATTTTTCCAATAATTGAGAGTAAAAAAGTAAAGACAGACTCTGTACACCCAATTCCATGGTGGACTGAAGCCATACAGCAGTATTAATAAGTAAGTGAATGCTTCCTAGTGTACTGCAAGAAATTAGCTGAATCGATCTCTTCCCAATCAGGACAAGTTAGCAGAGCTCCTTTGTTCAACTTCCACTTACTTTCCCCATTCTGGAAAAAGTAGTTTTGGCTAGTTTTGGTTGCACTGTGTAGCAAAGTTCCTATTGTCCTTCCCAGTAGCACAATATGTTCAGACCTACCAATTTGACAACACTGGATACTGCCCATACTATTTAAATATACTGAATATGGCATCCTATTTTTGCCATGGATGAATGATATGGCAACATTCCGTTGATCATTCATTACTTAAGTACCTTCTATCCTTACTAATGCCATATTATTTTTCCAGCTGTTCTTCGATCCATTTCAGAAGCTGCAATGCACAGTTTTCATAGACCTAAGACATATTCTAGTTTGCATGAATGTATTCATTGACCTAAGTAGGTAAGTTATATTTTCCACTTAACTTGGTTTGGACTGACTGGTACTTTAGACTTTACTGAAGTGCAAAATAGTAGTATTGGCATACAGTAAAAAGTTCCTCTATAATTTGTGATTTTACACTCAACTTAGAAATAACACGACCCATTCAAACCCTGAAACTTTCCCAGGAGTGTGTACATAACAGCATTTCCAGTGACTTCTAAAATATTATGGCCTTATTGAGAGCTGGAAGAAAATGATGAAAATTTAGCTTCGGTTGATAATTATCTGCAGCAATAGTTTACCCAACAGTGCAAATATAAATCTGAAATACTAGCCTTTGGAATCCAGTAGCTAGTGATTCAGACTTTCACATTAGCACTGTAAGATGAAATCTAAATGCATGTTTCCCTGCCCTATAGACACTTCTGAAATGGTCTTTGAAAGCATATGCTTCAGTTTTCAGGCATGCAGTTCTGATATGGAAGAATAAATTACAGCCTCAAGGAATTATTTAGAATAGTGTAATGAAATACCACGAAACAGCAAAACACACACTCTTTCAGCTAGCAATACCAAGTTATTCTTCTATGGCAAAACAATGCTAATCAATTTCTGTTTTGAAGAAAAGGACAATAATTTCCCCTTAGCTGGACTGCACAGAATCTATGCAGCCACAGCAGCTACTCAAAGTCTCTCTGCATAAAGCCTCTCACTACTTAGGGTTTCAGTTATGAAATGCAGTGCATATTAAGTTCTCATGTACAGTCAGCAAACTGGAGATGGTTCTTCTAAGAAATATTTTCAGAGTTTGCCACAGCCCTAAGTCTACCCCCATATACAATTAGGCTACCAATGGCTATTAGTTCCTATGGCTATACGCTACATACAATGTCAGAAGCTTTTGTATGTTTTTGGGGAACATGAGAATTGCATTCTGGCTTTACCACAGGAAGCTGGTTAGCCACGGTCTGCACGGACTGCTGTGCTAGATCTTGTCTGATCTGACCTTAGTCTAAGCCAGCATCCACTCTTCATGCGCTCTTAATTTCCTCTCCAAATTTAGAAAAGACAGCAGGTCCCTTGTTCTAATTTTATTTTCACCAATCTGTAGAATAAGAAACATTGTGTCTGTATTTCACAGTCCCACTTGTGAAGTCTAATGTTTCTAAAGGCTTTTGAGTATTTATGATAAAAGACTGCACAGAAATGCAAAGTATCATCATTATTATTCTCCAGAAATTTCCTTCCCTCAGAGAGAAGATCCCAGAAGAGAAGAAAAATCCAACAAGGCTACTTCAAGCTACTCTTTATCCTTTTTAGTCATGTCAGCTGGCAAGTTTTTAACTGAAAAGGGGTAAGGAAAAGAAAATTATAAATAGCACACATATAAAGATAAACCTAGGGGGTTTTTTATGGTTTTAGATAAACCTAAAAAAGAAACAAACACTGTCAAATCTTAAAATCTGTGGAAAGTTACTAGACACCATTTAGGCATAAAGTATCACAAGCAAAATATAACAGCTCCTGTATTACTTCCAGGTCAATCTTACAGCTTACATTTTCCATAACCATAACATGTACATATGGCCAAAAATTCAACCAAGCAATACAAATTTTACACAGTAAGAATACGTTCATCTGTAAGGCATTTAACAGACTGTTCATGCACTCAAGTTTAAGGAACCCATCTGTAGATTTTTAAAGATTATTTATTTGATTTATTAGATTTATACCCTGCCTTTTTCCCTCCTCAAGGAACTCAGGGCACATCATATAACTCTTCTCCTTCCAATCTCATTCTTATCCCCAGAACAACAACCCTATGAAATGGATTGGGATGACAGCCTAGGACAGTGGTGGTGAACCTATGGCACGCATGCCACAGCAGGCATGCAGAGCCCCCTCTGTCAGCATGTGAGCCAAGTCACCCCAACATCACCCCAGCAGCTGAGCGTCGGATAGGGGCCATGCACATGCTCGGAAAGGAGTACCTGCACCGGGCAATGATGTCACAAGCCGCGACTCGTCTGAGCTTTCACATACCCAGTTAGTGCGCTGCCAAGGATATATATATATTTGCTTGGACTGGCTGTAAGTTTTAATACATTCATTTGTATTAAGAAATTATATCAAATCTGATACAAGAAACAGACTAACAGATGACCTGAGTGCTGCATGTGTGGCTCTCAAACTAACAAAGTATGAGCCAAGGTGAGTCCCTTGGACCACAAGGCGATCAAACTGGTCAGTCCTAGAGGAGATCAACCCTGACTGCTCCTTAGAAGGCCAGATACTAAAGTTGAAACTCAAATACTTTGGCCACCTAATGAGAAGGAAGGACTCCCTGGAGAACAACCTAATGCTGGGAACAATAGATGGCAAAAGAAGAAGGGGACGGCAGAGGATGAGGTGGCTAGATAGAGTCACTGAAGCAGTTGGTGTGAGCTTGAGTGGACTCCGGGGGATGGTGCTGGACAGGAAGGCCTGGAGGAATGTTGTCCATGGGGTCGTGATGGGTCGGACATGACTTCGCGACTAACAGCAGCAGCAGCAGCAAAGATCATATTAATTGTGCAAAAACACGCCAAATGCAAACTTTTATCTTTCAATAAAAAGTTGTATCATTGAAAGCCCTGTTATTGTGTATTTCTTTTAAGACAAAAGATGTTAATGTATGAGTTGTTTTTTCTAAACTAAAACCTCAGTATTCAGGTTTTATTGCAGTGTTGGCACTTTGCAATAAATAAGTGGGTTTCGGGTTGCAGTTTGGACACTCAGTCTCTAAAAGATTCGCCATCACTGGTCCAGGAGTAGAACCCAGATTGCCTGAATCACAGTTCCAGGCTCTTAACTACTACACTGCCCTGGCTCTTAATCCACACAGCTTGGTAGACAGGTGTGAAAAGGTTTTAGTCAGCATTTTCTTTTTCAGTGCATTAAGATAATAAATGATTTAATGAGTTAGAGAACCCTTTTTTGCTGATTTAATCCATTTATATTTGTGTGTGATCCAAAGCAAGTAGAAAAGAGCCAGCCAAAGAATATATATAAGATAGTGTCAAAATTATTTTTTAAATCTCAGTATAGAAATAGCAAAATGTTACATTTAGAATACTGAAACCATTTTTCCAGTAGTTTTACCAAACTTGTTGACAAATCAATACTGAAATATAGTTCAAGATTTGACAGCTGGATGCTTATTTTAGGAGCAGTATACATTGAAAATTGCACAAAAAAACATTTTTGAGAACATTTGAAATCTAGTACTCAGTATTTTTGGTAACAAATTTAAATGCTAAAAGCAAAACCTAAAGCAAAAGCTAAAGAAATAACCTTGTATCTTGGTCTTTCTTCCATGCTAATCAACTGTTTGCTGTTTAATCAAGAAACCTGCTCTTAAAGTATCTGCAACTTGCTGCCTTGTGGTTGGTGCTTTACACATAAGGTCTACAACTCATTCATGTCACCCTAATTATTAGATTTGAAAGAGAAGTAGATGGAAAACCCAGCCTAAAATTGTGAACTAACCTGTTTCACTATTCTGATTCATCCAGAGGTCATCATCTAATCAAAGAAACTTACATCTTAGGTTCACTATCATTTTCCCAGTTGTCACAGCATTCCATAAAGTACAGCAATTTACCAATTACCAGTGAAATGAAGAACACATCCTATACCTTGCATTTTATCATTACTTACCATCTCTGAATATGTAACTATTCACATGGTTTCATTATGGTACTACTTTCAGAATCAGCTTTAAGAATTCAAGTATCATATGAAATGTTTATATGCATTCAAGGAAGGCTGACCATCTTAATAAAACTGATCATTTTTTAATGAAATAATAGTGTGTATTACTTGAATAAGATCAAATAAAGTTTGATGGAGGTCATAAGACAATAATAATTCGGGGGACCACAGGTAACTATCATGCCCCATTCTTTTGTACAGCAAAAATATACTGTATCCGGAATTAACCAAGCTGGAGTGCATATGAAGTAGGGGAGGTGCTAGGCACTTGAATGATTCCGTATTCAGGCCCACAGGACAGAAAAAAGATCATATTTGCATATACTGTAAGACTTCAGTGTGTATATCTTTAAGGACACAGTGTCCTAAAGATATGCTATCTGGAAAATGGGAGGTATGAACTAGGGAGAGGGCAGCTTTTGATTTCAGAGGTGAGGGGACCTCAGGGGTGAGGGGACCTCAGACAGAAAGTCTCAAGTGTAGCAACAGTAGGAATATGTGGGCAAAAAAACCCTAGCTGGACCAGATGCAACAGAAAACAGAGCCCTCGTACATTTATTTCGGTAAGCACCCACAATCAACAAGGTGATGGGGCAGTTGGATTCTTATTTTCAGGGCACCAGAATGATTTTGGCTCCAGCCTTAATCAGCCACACTCTAACACCATCTCCAACATGAAGCAAGATCAAAAACAGTCAGACTTTTGTTCTTTTAGGTCTAAAGTTCCAAGCACAAGAATGTATTTGAACAGAAGGTTTGGGAATTGAGAACACTGCCCACCTGTTGTGCATTTGAAGTTATCCAGTAGCTGTCTATCCAAGGGACAGGGTGGGAATAATAATGGCATTCATTTATAATGCCTTCTGAAAAAAGGTAATAGGAGTTTTCCTGTTGCTAAACAAAGGCAGCTATGGTAAAGAGGATCAGATCTACCAGACCTCATATTAAACAAGCAGCACAAAGATATAGTGCTGGAAAAAAATTAAGTATATTTCAGATTGAGTTAAGTGTGTAATGGACTACTTTATTCATTCAATCATTCATTCATTCTGATAATAATTGTATTCCCTGAAAGTAGCATACACTATTACATGAGCAAATTTGCACTCATGCAAAATAAATTTCTCCCCATTTCCTCTGCAGAGCAGTGGGTAACTCATCAGATAATGGAGGACAGACCAGTCCATGCCAACTGGGTTAGTCTACATGTCCTAAACTAGTATGCTGGGCGCAGGTGAAGGGCAGGACACTGCTTTGTGACCAATGGTGAAGCAAGAATCAAAAGCCAGCCTGAGATGGGATGATGTGCCTAATAGGGAAGGGGGACTGCCAACTTATGCTTTGTTTCAGGCAGCAAACACATTGGCCTGACCCTCTTCCCAAATGTATCTTTGCTTCCTTGAATACCAATTTATTTCCCCCATTTTTTTCTAATTTCTATTACTAGGAATGGGTGAGAATCATAGCATGTGTGTCTAGGGCAGACACAGATAGCCAGTTTGTAAGCCACCATGACTTATTTAAGATATGGTGGGTTATGGCACCTATTGGTGACCATGTAGAATATTTAAGCCTTGGCCATTGGTTGCTCTGGTTCATCTGTCACTGA